TCTTTCTGTCTCTCTTTCTAGCTGTTTTTTCCTCACGGCGGTCACGAGCGAACTAAATGAGCCCAATTAGCCATGAAGAAGATCTTGGGTGGAAACTAGAGGACGCTTAGCAAAAATGCGCATTGGTCTCAAGTCGACTTGCGTGTCCCGGTAAGACCACTAAACACTCAAGGGGTTGTGATGGTGCTTGATATGACAGGAGGCACCACCAGTCTCAAGTCGACTTGCCCTCCCTCATTGGAGATGGCAGCTTTGCTCACTGGTTTTGATGTGACCGCTGGGAGAGGTTATTTGTTTAGTTTTTATTTCTTCGGGGAGAAGGGAGTTGCTGATGGAGACTAGAAATGCCCAGTTTTTTGTTATTTTTTTAGGCAAAATACACTTCCATAACCATAACTATTCGCGTTGTGACAATAGTAGCCACTTTTTGAAAAATACAATGATATAGCCATTCCGTCCGTAAAATTAACGGTTTTCTCATAGTTGCTGACTGGACAAACAGATATTTACGACGTGGCCAAATTTTGTCTACGTGGCAGTCCGTGTGGATTGTGTTTCTAATTAACGTGGCAAAAAGGAAAATCAGTTAAGTGAAAGAATAAAATTAAAAAAAAAAAACAAAAAAGGAAAGTAAATTAAAAGCTCCGCTCCAGATTCCTCCACCTTCCTTTCCTCTTCTTCTTCGTACATCTCCGATTGAGCAACTAAGACCCATCTCATCTCGTTAAACCCCTTCTCAGCCGTTGTCGCCATCCACCATATTCACCCCTGTTGAAACTATAGGTGTCAATCGGGCGAGTTCGGGCTGGTTTCAATCGGGTTCGGGTTCAAACAGGTTGCGGGTTAGTCGGGTTGCGGGTTCATCGGGTTCGGGTTCAAACGGGTTGCGGGTTAGTCGGGTTGCGGGTTCATCGGGTTCGGGTTCAATCGGGTTGCAGGCAAATCGGGTTGCGGGTTCATCGGGTTTTGGGTCGGGCGGGTTGCGGGCGGATCGGGTTTCGGGTTGTTCGGGCCAGCGCATCATGTAACTTAACTCATTACCAAGTACCAACTTACACATTTTATTACACTAATTTAAAATATTTTCTCAACTTTTTAACCAATTTATTTCTACCTCGTATATATATACTTTTTTTTTGAAAAAAACTAGTCAAAATGTTAAATCAATTTGTATGACTTGCAAACTTGTTATGTAATTAATCATAATTGGTAAAGTATTATAGCTAATAGTAATGGTGATATCAATATTTGCAACCAAAAGACAACATTAATTGTTTATTTGATATTTTAGTATTAATTCAGTAGTAATTGTATTAAAGTATCTCGTTTAGTATAACCATGCAAATCTGGTATTTGGCGTGTGGTATTTGGCAAAAGCATAGTGATAAAAGGAGTTATTTCGAAATAACTCATTGCCCAAATAACTTCAGTATACTGTTGCCAAACGAGTTATCCTAAAAATTGTTTGAATTATCCTAAAAATTGAACCATTAAAGATTAGCTATCAAATTTAGTAAAATTATTATGACTTCAATCATAACTTACTCAATAGCATATATCCTATACACTTAGCCTTACCCTCAATCAACAATATTAAGTTAGTATATGTTGTTGATTGTATATCCTAAACCATCAATACATTATACACTAACCACATAACCTATACCCTATACCCTAACCATATGTCTTTGAGTTGTGATTTTGCTAGTATAGTTAATTTAAAAGTGAAATTCATACTTTGATTTTCAAAACATAGATAAAAAGTGATATTTGCTAATTGTTATACCCTAACCATATATCCTATACTTTACACCACATACCTTGTACCCTAACCACGCACCATATGTACCTTATACCCTATACCCTAACCATATACTTTATATCCTAAACAACGAACCGTCAAAGATGACTTATCAAGTTTAGTATAAATTGTTGTAACTAATGGTTAATTTATTTATTAGCCCATAAACAATTACATACATACATATATATATTAGCCTTCAAAGCATATAATAATAATTTTAACTAGTCATGCCTTTCATATAAAAGTTAAAGATTCATATTTCAAAAGCTAAAATTATGAAAAACCAAAAAATTGAAAACACCAAATTTGTTTCCTTCTTTCTTTTCACAAAAATACTAAAATTTTCCTCCTTCTTTCTACTTCCATACATTAGAAAACTCAATTTTTCCTCCTCTTTCTCTTCCATAAAATTTAAAGAACCAAATTACCCTCTTCTTTCCTTCTACAAAAAGTTGAAAACTCAAAAGTTTTCCTCTTTATTTCTCTTTCATAATCAAAAGAATCAAACTTTCACACTTCTTTCTCTTCCCACATATCAAAACCACCAAAATTTCCACTTGTTTCTTTTCTAAAAAATTCAAAGAACCGAATTTCCCTCTTCTTTCTCTTCCCAAAAACTTGAATACACCAAAATTTCTCTCTTCATTTAAAAATATCAAATACATTACTTTACTTTATTTATATTTAATTGATAATTATATTGAATAGTTAAATTAACCAAAATTTTAATTTATATATTATATTAATATTGTCATGATCTCAAGTGACCTTCATGTTTCAATTTTTGTAATTTTTTTAAAATACGTAATGTCAAGTGAGTTTCATATTTTTTAAATTTCCTATATGAAATGAAAAAATAATTTTACCTAAGTTTAGAATGAAAAACTTTATTTTGAAAAACTATGTATTGTATATTTTTATAATTATTCAAGTGGATTAGATGAAATTCGGGTTGAGTCGGTCGGGTTACGGGTTAGTCAGGTTCGGGTCAATCGGGTTCGGGTTAATCGGGTTTCAGGTCAGTCAGGTTGCGGGTCAATCGGGTTCGGGTTAATCGGGTTGCGGGTCAGTCGGGTTGCGAGTTAGTTGGGTTGCGGGTCAATCGGGTTGCGGGTCGGGCGGGTTACGGGTTGTTGACTTTTAGTCAATTCGGATTGCGGTTGGGTTGCGGGTCGGGTTGATCGGGCGGGTTAATTGGGTCGGGCTATGTTTTGACACCTATAGTTGAAACCCACAAAACCCACAAATATGCAGCCGCCAGATTCAGTGATGCTGGCAAATCTAGGCGCACAAGGGATTCCGTCATTTTGCTCTGCTTTAGCCCTCGCGTCGGCACTCCATCCACCGCCGGCGACGTCGCCTCGAGTACCGGTAGATTCAGTCGCACAAGGGCCTCTCTAGCGTCAACCGTTGTCGATATAAATCTCCGAACCCACCACTAGCGCGAATCCATCTCCACCATTGATTTTGAATCCTCGTCCCTTCTTCCTGATTTTGGGATTCAAATTCCAATATGCTTCTTCGTTCTCGGCAAGAAATGCAACTGAGCTTGTACTCCCACCACCAAATAACTCCAGATCTGGAGATTCGGAGGACGAGCAGATGGTTGGGTCTTGTTCTGGGATGCCCTTTGTCGCTGATTGGTTATGTAAACACTTTCATTTACATGGTACATCTAAACTGGTTTCATTATGAATACAAGATATAGTCTTTCTGTTTTGCGAATGTATCGCAACTCCCAGCGCGGAGCGCGGGTATGAACACTAGTATAGTATAATAGCACTCAACGTGTTTAATAGTGCTAACACAAATAATAATCAATAGGAAAAGGGATATTAATAGGGAGAAAAATACAAACTAAATAATAAATTAAATTTGTACTAATTCTAATATTTAAATATTTTATATTTTAAATTTATGATTTATGATTTTTCAGTATGGTTTGAAACTAAGTTATATATACCAGAAACATAACAAACATGTCAAAAACACAAGAATGTATAACAGAGTCAACAGAGCATGTTAGTAACATTACAATGCGTATTATAAGTCTCATAAATCATACTAGAAAGTAGAAACAATATAGAATGCATAGGATTTCAACGTCAAGCTGCTTTAGTGTGCATTCCATTCATTCTCCAATTGCCCCCATGGATCGAAGTGTAATTGGTACCATGTTGAACGTAACTCATTGGTTGATTGGGTAGCCCGTAATGCTAGGTTGAATTTTTTTACCTTGTAATGAGTTGTTGTTGATAATAATTTTGTAAATATTATAGAAAACATTAATATAAATGATGACTGTACATTGTTAATAATACATCGAATAAAAGTTGATATCATCAAGTTACATTATTAACAATTGTCCAAAATAATTCTTAAACTTTGAGATTTAAAGATCTGAACCCAGCTCTTGAACAATACGTTGTCTTGACGCTCACCCCAATTAATAAATTTTAAGAATATGGAAGAAAGCTATAAAATATATATATATATATATATATATATATATATATATATATATATATATATATATATATATATATATATATATATATATATGAAGCATGGGAACAGAAGCACGAGCTCGATGCAGAATCTAATGGTGGCGGCTAGTAAAGTCTGTCAGGAGGACTTTCATCAGTACGAGTCTTAGAATACGATGAACAACACATGCATGCTGCTCACTGAGTGTCACTGCTCACTCTGTTTCCGCCTAATTAATTAACCACACCCCCCATTTAATAAATGTACTGCCGTACTGGTGGTGGTGGGCTGGTGGCTGATCTAGAGATGGTTGGTGGCGGCTAATAGGGGATGCATTGGGACAACAAGAGTTCCGCTACTATGCTCATAATTGTTAGAGAGTGGTATAAGATCCAGCAAAACCTTCTCCCAACAACTCGAGTTATTGGGAGCAACTGGTTCTTGACATGGTATCAGAGCCTAAAACCGAAAGGTCATGTGTTCGAATCTCCACGACCCCCAATATTAACCGTTGTCTTTCAAGCACAAGGTATGATGGGCCTGTGCAAACTTCAAGCCCATGGGTTGGCTTTCGTTTGAGGGGGCGTGTTAGAGAGTGGTATAAGATCCAGCAAAACCTTCTCCCAACAACTCGAGTTATTGGGAGCAACTGGTTCTTGACAATAATAAACATCGATATTTATTTGAGATCTCTAAATCCTCTCTCTGTCTCTGCAAATCGTTTCCCAAAAATGGAGAGCGACAGCAACCCATCTCCAGTCCTCTACGACATCATAATCCTAGGAGCATCAGGATTCACCGGCAAATACGTCGTAAGAGAAGCACTCAAGTTCCACAACTCCCCATCTTCCCCTCTCAAATCCTTCGCCGTTGCGGGCCGAAACCATTCCAAGCTCACCCAAGCCCTGAAATGGGCCGCCGCCGAGCCCAACTCTCCACCTCCGTCCATCCCAATCCTCACCGCCGACACTGCCGACCCTGCTTCCCTTCGCATGCTCTGCTCCCGGACCAGGCTCATTCTCAACTGCGTCGGCCCGTTTCGTCTCCACGGCGACCCTGTCGTCTCCGCCTGTGTCGAGGCCGGCTGCGACTACTTGGATATCTGCGGGGAGCCGGAGTTTATGGAGAGGATGGAATACAGTTATCACGACCAAGCGGTTGAGAATGGTTCGTTGGTTGTTTCGGCTTGTGGGTTCGATTCGGTCCCGGCTGAGCTGGGTTGGATGTTTAACTCGAAGCAGTGGGTCTACCCGGCTGTGCCAAACCAGATTGAGGCTTACCTGAGCTTGGAATCTGATAAGAACATTGTTGCCAACTTCGGGACTTACGAATCGGCGGTTCTGGGTGTGGCCAACGTGGACAAATTGATGGAGTTGAGGAGATCCAGACCCAGAAGGTCGAAGCCGAAGGTGAGCAAGTAACTTTTGTTAGTTGTTAGTTGTTACATTTTTTTTTTTATTTTGGCACACAATTTATTGCATTATTATGAATATTTTTTCCCTGACTTTGTTTTGTTACATTTTCATACTTATGTATCATACAATAATGCACTACGGGCCAAGCACACTTCTAAGTTCTAACGCTCATTGGTGCTAGGTCGACGTACTGTGACATATATTTGTTAGATCGCGTGTTTCGCATTTCAACTTTGTTGTAGATTTCGGAAAAGGTATTCAACGTGGATCATATTAATGCTCATTCACTTTTGTTGCAGATTCCTGGGCCATACCCTCGTAAAGGGACAACCATAGAATACCAGAAGGAGTTTGGTCTTTGGGTCCTAAAGCTTCCATCGGCTGATACTGCAGTTGTAAGTAGAACGCTTGCAACATTGACAAAACACCCTCAAGGTCTTCCGGGGGTTAAAGAGAGTGACAAACAAACTGAAAAGAGGAAGAAATTTTGGTCGACGACGAAGCCTGCTTATTTTGGGCTGAAGTTGGGGTCTAATTGCCTTTGGGGTCTCTTTCAATTTATTACTCTTGGCGTCTCTATTGGCTACTTGGGTAGAAGTTCTATTGGAAGGTGGCTACTCCTGAACTTCCCATCATTTTTCAGCGTTGGATGGTTCAGCAAGAAGGGTCCTTCGGAGGATGAGGTCGAGAGCGCTTCCTTCAAGATGTGGTTCGTCGGACGCGGATACAGTGACTTGAGCCGAAGGATGTCGACAGAAGACGGGGACAAGAAGCAAGAGCCAGATGCAGAAATCATAACGAGAGTCATGGGTCCTGATCCGGGCTATTCGACGACTCCTATCATCTTGCTGCAATGTGCTTTGATTGTTCTTGCTCAACGTAACAACTTACCCAAAGGAGGAGTTCTCACTCCAGGGATTGTGTTTGGTCCGACTAATCTCCGAGAGCGTCTCGAGCATAATGGGATTTCTTTTGATGTCATCTCAAGAAGAGTTGTCTGCAAGTTCGGTCGTTGCCCATTTTAAGTATTCCGGATAGGTTGACAGTTTGATGTGTTTGGAGTTTGTTTTGGGTTTTCTAGTTCTTGCGTTTTTTTCCATCTTTAACAATTAGCTTTGTGTTTGATCTACTAGCCGATTGAGTTTTGATTATTATTTATAGTAATCAACTGATCTTGCGACTTAAATTGTTTTATGTATTTGATTCTTTTATATTGTATTAATCACTTTTTGAAAAATAGTTTTTGATTTATTACATGCAAATTTAATGAAACATTGACTCGTTAAAAGATAATTTCTCAATAATGAGTCAATGAGTTTTATTTGTTGATGTAATACTTTGAGTTCAAAATTCATCGAGCCAATCAATAAATAGTGACGGTTCCTTAAACTTATTATAAACTTGTGCTAAAAGTTTCCAACATATAGCATTTCAACTTAATTATCCATTTATCTGATGATGTTGACTCGTGTCTGCACTAGAGGTGTGTAACCAGTGGCGGAGTCACTTGGAGAGGTGGGGTGGGTTTGGAGAAAAAATTTCCGAATATGGGTATAAATAAATTCGAATTAGTGATCATTCAGTTGCAATAAGAATTTCTTACCATTTCAATCGAGTAAGTTTTGTTATGCAATACACTTTCGTCTTTATTTATAGTAATAAATGGTTGTCTTTTGTTTAAACTCGCTCATTTCTTTTGTAGCTCTACAATAGAGAAATTTCTTGCCTTTTGTTTAAACAAAACCGAAAGTGATGAAGTACCAATTGAAGTTCACTTGTTTGTTTCACAAAATCAATTCCAAGGTACTTCTGAGTTATAATTTGTAATACTTGATGAATGGAAGTCTTCACTTTTATGTACTGAACTTATTTGTCTGACGTTGTAGCCTATGTACGTGAAACTATTTTAATATATATATATATATATTTTACAATAAACTATTTTAATGTAATTGTATGAATTTAGAGTATTGCGTTGTTGACTTGTTTTTTCATTTAAACTTGACTTTTCTACTGTATAGGTGATTCTTTATGATATGATAAAGACACCCACTTGGCCAATTTTCTGGCTCCGCCACTGTGTGTAACTCTCATTGTAGGATATTAATTATGTCAAGATTGAAGAACCAAGATACTTGGTTCGTTATCTTATATAATACAATGCTTGGACTAACCCTAAAAAATTATTGTTCTTAATTGGCTTCAAATATTGAGAGATTTTCTTAGTGAAGATACTTGATCCCTATGTAATTCTGAATCCTAATTCTGTAAATTTGAAACTCTAATTCTTGAAGGGGTGAGTCACTGACCCTAAACTCAAATAAGTAAATTCTAGAACCTAATCCTCTAAAGTCTAAACCTTAAACCATATGATCAATTACATTATGAACAATATTTGATGATTATGATTTGTCGAAATATATCAACCATACCATATGCACAATTAGCGTTTAGAGAAATAGAGTACATGGTTTAGAGAATAAAGTTATGGTATGGTACCCCAAATTCTAATTAAATTATACCATTACTTTATTAAGGGTACGTGGTAATCTCCCCGCGTATCATAATATTCTTTGCACCATATATACACCACATTGATTGTTAAATTTAAAAATTAACCAATGATGTTTTGACTCATTGGTCAACGATATTTAGTTAGTTCTATGTTATTGATTCTCAACCCTTAGTGCAATTATTAGCTAGTGATTTGTTATCATTCACTTCTACCATTGAAAATATTTCCTTACAAAACTATTACGTTCCCTGTTACTCAAAGAATCAACTTGTTATCTAGTTGAATCACAATATGTCAAATTTTCTGTTTTGAAATACAAATTTGTATACATCTTTCGACGATAATCCTTGTACGACCTAATCAATTTATAAGTTTTAATACAACACTTCAACTCAAATTCTATGATTTGATTCTTGGTGAAAATTTTTGTGATTTTGGAAAATCACTTTGTTGATTTATAGAGTTAATTATATGAAGATAAATTATTTTGTAAATTATTTAAAATTATTGGTTATATGGAGTGCTAACTATTGTGGCAGATAAGTCAGTTACTTATGACTTTAATTGAAAGAATACAGCAAATTCTAAAGAAAAGTAGAGAAAATTCTTATGTATATTATTCCAGGATTTAGACTATGATAACCCAAGGGCCAAAACCAATAGGTTCACTCAAGGCAAATTGGACCGGTTCAAATTAACTCTATGAACGAAACAACATGATTTGTCTTGACTCTTGACCACTATAACTTCATGTCACATGATTCAACATATGTTGGCCCCCGGCTAGGGATGGCAATTTTGACCTGATCCGTTTTACCCGACCTGTTTGACCTGTTTTGGGGCGGGTCCGGCCCGCCCCGTAGGCGGGGCTGGGCGGGCATGAGTAGTCTCATCGACCTGACCTGCCCTGACCCACCCCATTCTCGACCCGTTCTTGTTTAAATTACATGTAATCTTAGTCAAATTATTTCGAATTTTCCTTTTATTGCATCATATTTTAGCTATAATAAAGTTGTAAATTAGTGAAAATCTCAATTTCTCCAATAATTTAACTACAATTGTCATAATATTATTTGTTTTCTTAGTCTTATAATAAAAATAACGAATATTTCTAATGTTTTTCATATAAATTGCATACCCATTGGGTCGACCTGCCCCGACCCGCGACCCGTGATCAATTACCCGACCTGGACCCGTCCTGCCACGGGACGGGTCTGGGTACCAAGAAACCCGCCCCGGACCTGCCCCATTGCCATTCCTACCCCCGGCTCGTTATGATCCACCGTGAGATGAGGGTTGATACAAGTGGTATCAAAGTTAATACAACAGAGCTGGAAATCGAAAACAGAGATGAACACTAAAACACTCCTAATATTGTAATCTCTCTCAACCTGTAATTGGAATACCCTGGATCAATCTTCGGCCCCTTTGTTGACTCAATACTCAAGCGGTTAGCTTCACAATTATTGGTGATAGATCATCAATGTCTTACTTCGATATGATTGGGAGCCTCCAGCCACTAAGTAGTCACATTTTTCCTCGAAATGACATCAAATGAAATCCCATTTTGCTGGAGCCGTTCTTGAAGATCCGTCGAACCAAACACAATCCCGGGAGTGAGAACTCCTCCTTTGGGGAGACTGTCACGTTGTCCCAGAGCAATAAGAGCACATTGGAGCAACACAATAGGCGTCGTCAGGTAGCCAATCTCAGGGCCCATCACTCTCGTTATGATCTCTGCATCGGGCTTCTTGTTCTTGTCCCCAGCTGAGGCTTGACTCAGGTCGCTGTACCCACGTCCAACAAACCACATCTTGAATGAAGCACTCTCAACTTCTTCCTCCGAAGGACCCTTCTTCTTGAACCATCCAAGGCTGAAGAATGACGGGAACTTTAGGAGCAGCCACCTACCAATGGAGCTTCTACCCAGGAGCCCCATGAACACGCCTAGAGTGATGACTCGAAAGATGCCCAACAGGCTCTTGGATCCCAGCTTCACCCCAAAATGAGCTGGCTTCATTGCAGACCAGAATTTCTCCCTTTTTTCAATCTGCTCGCCGGTCTCATTGACTCCGGGAAGACCGTGGGGATGTTCTGCTAGCGTTGAGAGCGTTCTTCTTACCACAATAGAGTCAGCTGATGGCAACTTTATGGCCCAAAGACCGAACTCCTTTTGATGATCTATGATTGGCCCTTTAGGAGGATAGGGCCCAGGAATCTGCAAAACATTGTAATGGAGCAACTATGAACTCTCTTAACTGTCAACACTGTGGTAATGGTGATCTATCATCTATGATAGGTCCTTGGGAGTAGCTATTATCAATTTATCAGCATGAAAAGAGATCAAGTAATACAGCAGCAATACATTACTCTCACGCATCAAGACAACTGGCATGAATCACTATGGATGTCAACCTAAACTGCTACCACCAACATTCTGAGTCCCTAGTGATTGACGTAAATTTCCACTCATCAAACGTTATAGTCATAGCTGAAACAATTTTACCCTGCCAAGTCAATGCATTAGTCAGCACAAGTCCATTGCTGAGCAATGTCAACAAACCTGCCTACCAAAGGGGTTAGACCGTTCTAACATCGATGGACAGTCAGATAAACGATCGGCAAATTCCACTCTCACAGTTCAATTCAGCAAGCTAACTACGCAGTGATGAAAAAGCAGTACAATGTAACAAAGAGAAGTTGTTTCCTCACCGTTGGCCTAGGCCTTTTGGGTCTAGATCTTCTCAGCTCTTGCAATTTGTCCATGTTGGCAACACCCAGGACGGCCGATTCATAAGTCCCGAAATTGCCAACAATGGTTTTCTCCGACTCCAAGCTCAAGTAAGCCTCAATCTGGTTCGGAACAGCAGCGGAAGGCCACTGCTTGGAATTAAACATCCACCCCAATTCAGCCGGAATCTAATCGAACCCACAAGCCGAAACGATCAGAGAGCCCTTCTCGACAGCCTGGTCATGGTAATTGACTTCCATTCTCTCCATAAACTCGGGCTCCCCGCAGATATCCAAGTAATCGCAGCCGGTCTGGCTGCAGGCGGCAACGACAGGGTCGCCGTAGAGACGAAATGGGCCGACGCAGTTGAGGAGCAGCCTGGTTTGGGAGCATAGCAGGCGAAGGGAAGCAGGGTCGGTGGTGTCGGCGGAGAGGATCGGGATGGAGGGAGGTGGAGAGTTGGGATGGGCAGCCCACTTGAGAGCTTAAGAGAGCTTGGAAGGATTTCGGCCGGCGATGGCGAAGGATTTGAGAGGGGAAGATGGGGAATTGAGGAACTTGAGCGCTTCTCTTACAACGTACTTGCCGGTGAATCCGGACGCTCCGAGGATTATGAGATCGTACGGAGGAGGAGGAGATTGGTGGGTGTTGTAGTCTTCCATGGCCGGAGAATGAACTGCAGATTTGGATTGGAATTCGCCGGGCGGTTGGAACAAAGGCTTTAGAGAAGGTTTCTTCTTTCTCTATGCCTTTGAAGCCGTTCACCAACTTGAATTGCGTGCCATTAGTGTGCTGCTCTGTTTCTTGCAATGTTGTCAGAACCGATCCAGAGTATGACCCGATAACGTGAACGGCTCGGTTTTTAGTGGTCCAGCCGGCATTAGACCGTTTAAAAATCGTTTGAGAACCGGTACCTAATAAACAGTCATCTGTATAAATAGTAGACATTTCTTAATCATGGTATCAGTTCCCACCCAACTCTTCTCCATAGACAATTAACTTCAATATATTTCTCTCTCTTACTTTGCCGTTAGTCCCATAGAGAGACAATAATCCTACTCCTACACAAAGAGGGACCTGGCCCCTGGAACAAATGTAATTTACACAAGCAAAGCAGAAATGATGTAGAGAGCTACCCATCACTGGAAATTTGTTCTTGTCCATTGCACGTACCTGAGGGACTCTTGAAAATTTAGTTTCCCAAATACCCAATCTGAAAGTTACTCTTTCTTTTTCGTGATTCTTATCAGTTTACAATTTGTTCATGAAATTTGACAACCAACAACAGAACCAGTTTCTAGTTTCCTTAACTCATTCTTTGTTAGCTAGATGTATACTACAGATGGAAAAGACATGATGACTATGTGATGCAGACAGGTAATAAGGAAAGCTCACGAAAGAGAAAGCAAGTATACACAGTAATAACACCGGCCAAATTAACAAGAAAGTCGCAGCCTTTCAGACTAAATTAGAATCAAGAGGAGGAAATCTATAGCGCTATTCTATGGATATCATATACACAGAGACATGAGGAAGACAAATAGAAAGTAGAAAGAAAAAGGAGAACAGGGGTTATTAGAAACCTGGAAGCAGAGTGTCGATGGACAGCAGGGGTCGATGCAGGGGAGAGGTAGCCGTGACCGGAGAAGGGAGAAGGGAGACCTCACCGGCCGGCCATTGCGCTCGCCGGCAAGAGCGGGGAACGAGCCGCCGAAGACGACGACTATGGCGACAGGCGACGGGGGAGTGGCGTCGAGCGATGGCGAACGGCGACGACGTGGGGCGATGGGGAATGGCGGTTGCGGAGGAGGAAGCTGCTTCTCCTTCGTGTCTGGCTGTCTACGCGAAGAGGAAGAAATGAAATTAGGGTTTCAGCACAACAACCTCCCCTTTCATTTTCGATATTTTAGGTTTTTTTTTTTTAATTAAAGCAACCGGCCCAAAGGTTAAAAATCGGGCGAGCGGTTCGAGCGGTTAACCGCTTCGGCCGCTCTCCGGCCGCCCCAAATAACCACTCCGGCTAAATAGTTGAGTCGAGCCGGTTTTATGGCCGGGTGGCGGTTTTGGCGGCTCGGCCGGCCGGCCCGGCTCGGCTTTGACAGCACTGGTTTCTTGTTTCCGGCCTTCAATTTTTGAAATGGTGAGGTAACTTTTGTGTTCTTTCAAAATGACCACTTTCTTTCATTTTCTTCTAAAATTTCGTTGTTTGCATGGGAGGGACTAGGGAGAGACTAGGGATGGCAATGGGGCGGGTTTGGGGCGGATTTGTCTAAACCATCCTCGTCCCCATTTTCAAATACCCAAACCCATACCCGCCCCATACCCATGCGGGGAATGTTTTGCAAACCCATCCCCATACCCGTGGATTTCGGGTACCCATGGGTAATACCCATCCCCGTACATTCAACATTATTATACCTAAAACTTATCTTATAAGTTTTAATTAGGGTTAATATTTTCGTATGGCCTGAACTTTGACCAAAATAAACATCTTGGTCAATCTTTTCGATCTATAACATCCTGACCCGAACTATACACCAAAATAAACAATTTGGCCAGATCCGACTTTTGACCGTTAACTTGGATGGTCAAACGCGTTGACCGTTAGTCAACGCGCCATGTCACTGCCAAGTCAACATAAAATATTTAAAATAATTCACAATTTCCACACATTCCCTAATTTTAAATTATTATAAATTAAAAAAATCATCTAATACCTTAGTTAAACCAAAAATTAAAAAAACGAAAAAATTATATATTTATCAGATCTTCTGACTTGGCAGTGACGTGGCGCGTTGACCGTTAGTCAATGCGTTTGACCGTCCAAGTTAACGGTCAAACATCGGGTTTGGCCAAATTGTTTATTTTGGTGTATAGTTCGGGCCAGGATGTTATAGATCGAAAAAATTGGTCAGGATGTTTATTTTGATCAAAGTTCAGGCCATACAAAAATATTAACCCTTTTAATTATAACCATAAACAAACCTATTATATCATGAAGTCAACAAAACATGGTCATTTTCTAAATACGATTCAAATAATATGATCCTAAAACATCCATTAATACATAATATAGAATATAATCTTTTTAAAATTATTATGCTCTAACTCTTGATACATTTACCAAGTAATAATTAACTAACATAATCTTGTTGAAAGGGGGAAAGTGAAAGAGTGGAAGTAGGGATGGCAATGGGTCGGGTTGGGGCGGGTTTTGCCAAACCCGAACCCAAACCCATGGGTTTGTCCGTCAAAAAAACCCGGGGTAAAACCCGCTGGGTTTGAAAAACTCAAACCCAACCCAACCCGCTGGGTATCCGCGGGTTGATGGGTACCCGCGGGTTTTTTTGGTAAATATTTATAAAATAATAATTAACTAGAAACTATCAAAATCTCAAGCATAAATCTCACCCGCTTTGTATTGATCTGAATACTAACTTTAAAGGTTGAGCGTGGCCTTATTCTACATTCTTTGCCTTGATGCTATTAGGAAAAGGGAATCAACATGATTTTTGTACTAAGTGGGAATGGTACACATGCTGGGGCGAACGCCATACACGAAGAGGTTTATAAGCTTACATCTTATTGATTTCCTGCACTACTATATCTTTTTGTCTGTTTTAGTTGAGTGCTGGTTATATGGCTTACGAGCTAGTTCAACCTAGCTTCTCCTTTCTGAATCCTCTTATAGAAGGATACTCTTGAGGAACTGTTATGCCATAATGGTACCTGGGATCGAGCATAAAAGGTTGGCCAATAGATATCTAGTCTAAGTACCGGGAACAGACTTTTTCCAGAATTGCTAGAAAATGTAATTGAATTTAAGATGTAACCTAGTCCATCTGAACTATATGTATTGGTTCTGATTTTCCTATGACATTATATTCTCAGGCAGACTTAAACTCAGAACATTGAAGTAATTGTAATAGGTGTCTGATATTAGAAGTGGTCATCTTAGAACTGCAATTTGGTACTTCTAGCTTTCTTCATTTTACAAGCTCCAGCGTATTATTCCCAGGCAGATCAGAACATTGAAGTAATCTTAATAGGTGCCTGTTACTAAAATTGATAGCATGGCATTTCGGTATTTCTTACTTTCTTCCTGGTACAAGCTCCAAAGTATTATAATTTATAACTTCTAAATTCCTGTTTTCAGTGCCGTAAAAGAAAGCTGCAGGTAGCTGTAGTTGGGGTACCAAAGACCATAGATAATGACATTTTATTGATGGATAAAACTTTCGGTTTCGATACTGCTGTAGAAGAAGCACAAAGAGCAATAAATTCTGCTTACCTTTGCAGAAGTGCTCTCGCGGAGCAGAAGACCAAGGAGAGGGCGGCGGGGGTGGAGTCGGAGGCGCGCGCCGAGGAGCAGGGAGAGGGCGTCGTGACTGAAGTCTGAAATCGGGAGAGGAGTCGGAGGCGCGGCCGCGTAGCAGAGGAGAAAGGAGAGTTCGCCGGGACGGAATCGGTAGTGGAGTCGTAGGCGCGGCGGCCGCGTAGGAGAGTTCGCCGTGCCGGACTGGAGACTGGACTCTGGTAGGGATGACTGGAGATCGCGATTTGCGAAAGGAGAGGGGTGGCAGCAGTCTTTGGGAGAAAGGAGAGGGGCGGCCGAGTATGGTCTTGGTCGATTAGGGATTTAGGTTTTGTCACTTGCGTGTCCGGGTATCCACGGGTCGGGTTCCCCAAACCCGAACCCGCCCCAACCCGCCCAAGCAGCCACCGGGTTTAAACCCGACCCCGAACCGAACCCGGTCAACACGGATTTTACCCGGTTTGACCGGGTTGGGTCGGGTCGGGTACCCGCGGGTACGGGTTTCACTGCCATCCCTAAGTGGAAGGAGAATTGAGGGAAATGAATTAGGTTTTGATTAAGGTGGTTACTCAATTGCATTTCTACTATTTATTTTCTCGAGTTATCATCATTATCATTGATATATTACAATTTAATCCACATATTTTTTGATATGTGAAGAAATTCTCTTGGTGGGGCGGGTATGGGTATGGAGCGGGGAGGCTAAAACCATACCCGCCCCATACTCATCAAACTTATTGCGGGTTTTACCCATACCCGCCCATACCCGGTCAAAGCGGGGATTTCCCGCGTTGACTGGGTCGGGGGCGGTCGGGTACCCGCGACCATGGGTTTAATTGTCATCCTAGGAGAGACTGATGACAATTTGAAATCCGCTTGAGGATAAGTAAGTTTTCTTTACCAAGTCAAGCATGAATGAGATATACACTATAAAAATTAGTTTGAATGCAGATTCTAACCTCTTCTTAATTAATTTTTTTTTTTTTTTTTTTGGCATAGATATGGACGTTTATAGATATTACATGACACTCGACAACCAGACGCGACAGTCGACAAGTAGTCGAACTGTCGATGAAAGGGCATTAGTAGCCACTAAATGGGCAGCCCTGTTGTACAACCGAGGAGTAAAATTACAATCAAAGAAACTAAACATCGCGCCAGCAGTGCAAATTTCCTCCAAGATCGCACCTCCTGATCCGTGGTTCACCTCCTTGGCTCTTACCCTGCGAATCAACGGCTGACAATCGCCACAAAAATTGACCAAACCAAATCCATGCAACACACACCAGTTAACCGCATCACGAAGAGCTAATAATTCCGAAGTAAAAGGATCCGACACACCTGGGTAGTACCGCCCAAAGGCGAACAGAATCTGACCGTTGTTGTCCAGCCCGACAAAGCCGACACCGCCTCCTGCATCCGTCTTCCAAGCTCCATCGAATCGTACTAGCACACCACCTGCCGGACACACCCCACCTGGAGCCTGCGCCGGTAATGCCTGGCCTGCGCCCAGCCGTGGCCTAGACGTCCCATCACCACCCCTACGAAGAGTCAATGGAGCCGTTGCATGTTCCCACTCGTCAACCTGAGCACGGAATTGACGAAATAGCGCCAGCCCCATGTACTGAATGCGCTTATGAAGAGCCCAACAGCGGGATTTCCATACTCGCCAACACAGAAACACTACGTTAGCAATCTCAGACTTTGAAAGATGACAAGAGAAGAATAAGACCTGCCAGCAGTCTGAAGGAGTCAACCCTTCCAGCCTTCTTCTCAGATCGCCCAACCCAGCCATCATCCATAGCTCTACAGCAACTCTGCAGTGGAGGAAAGAATGTACAATAGTTTCCGCGCCATGGGAACAAATCGGACATATATTATCAACAACCAGCCGCTTCCTTTGCAGTACCGCTCGAACAGGAAGAAAGCCGCGGACCACTCTCCACCAGAAGAACTTCAGTTTAGGAGGAAGAGGAAGACTCCAAAGTAGCTTCCAGAACCTGCATTCATAAGGCAACGGAGCAGGAGGGTGAGCAGCCAGCATCTCATTAGTAAGAACGTGATACCCAGTTTTGACCGTGTACTCCCCAGTTGGGGAGTAATGCCAAATTAGCTTATCTTGAGAGGCCTGCAACGTCAGCGGAATAGATAAAATTAAGGCCACCGACTCAGGCACAAAAAGACTTGTCAGCAGGTCTACATTCCATGTTCGAGTGAATGGGCAAATGAGATCAGACACAAACACAGGACAAGAGTAAATATGCGGCAATAGCAAAGGGGTAGAGGGGGGAGTTGAGGGCAGCCACTTATCTGCTAAGACCTGCACTGTATTCCCACTTCCAATCCTCCATCGAAGCCCCCGGATTAAGAGATCCCGCCCGGCTAATATACCCTGCCAAGCCCAGGAAGGCCGCGGACCCGGCGTCGCTTCCAAGAAAGAGGTATGTGGGTGGTATCTCGTCCTGTACAGCGTTGCCAACGTCGAGTCCGGATTCAACAGAACCCGCCAAGCCTGAAAATTAATTTTTTTGATGAGAGGGAATGTTGTCATTGACGAGGAAAAACTGAAAATTAGAAAGTATTCAGATGAAATTGAAAAGCTGGTGATCATTTTGTACGAATAGTATACTTACACCATCATTTTGGATAATCATCAATTAAGTACTCAACTTGCAGTTTTCAATTGGAGAATGGTATTATGGTAATAAAGACATATGATCATGTCGACAATACCCTAGGGAGCACCCCAGCTAATAATTCCCCATAATGACGCCACCACCCCCAAAAAAGATACCAAATAGCTAAATTGCCCGCTCAATTTTTATTTTCCCCCTTTGGGCCGGGAAAGCTTTTTAGTTTCAGTTTAAGTCACTGCTCCAACTTTCTTCTTTGCAGAGCAAAAAATCTCACTTCCTTCCTTACTACCTGTCGTCGTCTCTGCAGTTTCCTTCCCTTCCTTCCACTCTGCTCCGCAACAACCTACTTCTGTAATCTCAACTCCTCCTTCCACTTGGAAGTAAAGAAACAAAGCGAGAGGGAAATGATTCTCTCGGCTTTGCTTACTTCAGTTGGAATCAATCTCGGCCTCTGTTTCTTGTTCTTCACTCTCTACTCCGTGCTCCGGAAGCAGCCATGGAACAGCGCCGTCTACGCTCCACGCCAGCTCGCTAAGCAAACACGAAGATCTCAGAATGGTGGCGGCGACGAAGAGGAGGATGATTTCTTCAACTTCGACATGCTGTTGCCTTCCGCTGGCTGGGTGCGACGCGCCTGGCAGGTCTCCGAGGACGAATTGCTCTGCCGCTCCGGCCTCGATGCTGTTGTTTTCATACGCATTTTCGTCTTCAGGTTCCTTTTTCATTTCTTACTTCAGTTGCTCTCTTCGTTCCCTTTTCGCTATTTACTCATTCGTCCGTGTTGCTGGTTAAAAAATTGCAGCTCGAGAGTTTTCGCGATCGGCGGAGCGATTGGGATTTTCGTTCTCCTTCCGGTAAACTACTTAGGGAATCAATTGAGTATCGACTTCTATGATTTGCCGAACAAGAATCTGGAAACTTTCAGTATATCGAATGTTAATGATGGATCAAACTGGTGAGTTTCTCCTCCTTCTCCTTCTCTCACTTCTAGTCATACTTTGTAATCAATCCATGAGTTTTCTGGTGAGAAAAGAACCTGTAGGTTGAGTAATTTAGCTTCAATTGCAGAATCTGGATTTTGAAGGAACTGTTAAGTGTACTAATTCCCAGTCCATAGCGGCAATAAGATACCTGATGATAGTGTTTCGCTTTATCTAGGTTATGGGTTCACTTTTCGGCTGCCTACATCTTTACTGGAGTTGTCTGCTACCTTCTTTATTATGTAAGTGACAATGGAAATCTTTGTCCTGCTCTTCTGTTGTCATTCTCCCATCTATGAGGCTGAGTTGTTGTGTCGATGGAACGTCTTGAATACTTGTACTATTTGCAGGAGTATAACCACATCTCCTTGAGAAGGATTGCTTCTTTTCACTCCTCTCCACCTCAGCCTCGTCACTATACGATTGTAGTCCGTGGTATACCATCTTCAGGAGGAAGAAGCTTTAGTGAAACTGTCCAGGCGTTTTTTACTGATAATCATCCTTCTACATATCTCTCGCACATGGTGGTTCATCGTACGAGCAAAATTCGAAGTCTCATTGTAAGCTTTTTGGGGTGGAGTGCAGATTGATTCATTAGAAATGAGGTTACGGTGATTATGTTTTCCTTTCCCTTGGTTAAATTAAGAACCTCTTTATCTGTTCGATTGTACTTGCAATGAGTCAGCTTGCTCTGTGAATCTTTTTCCATCTCCTTGTCCTTGCTCCTTGAAATGAGCTTATGCCTTATATTGTTATTGCTAAAGATGTTGTGAACCACTTCTTCAAAGCTTATGATAGGTGTTGCACAATTAAGGTTGTAGCTAATGAGAACAAGCCAGGGAAGTTTCAAGGCAAATGGCTAATACTTTGTGGAACAAAACTGTCTCACAACTTCCATGTCTCGTGCGTTACTATGATACAACAAAGTGTGGCAGATAATTTGTACAAGCATTCCATAATGCAGTAATTGGGGAGCATTTCCCTTATACATAATTTCTAGAGAGTAGAGATGCATTCCTCTTTCTGAATTTAAAACATCGAGTATTTTTCATATATCGTGCAATGCCATTGATTATTAAGCTCTTTTGTGATGCAGAAAGATGCAGAGAAACTATACAAAACGCTTGCCCGGGTGAAATCACAGAGTTCGCAGCAAATAAATAAAAGAGATAGGTTATTGGGCTTCTTCCGGGGCAGGGATACTGATGTCAGCCATTATGAGCAAAAGTTGGAAGATTTGGAGAGAAATGTGAGAATAGAACAGCATTCTTTGACTGGGGAGTTGCCTAACACCAGCGTTGTAAGACCATTTCTACCTTGATTTCGCAAGTGTAACAGTCATTAATCTCCTGGTTGATCTGCTAAACTGCTTTCACTGGGAAATTTAAACACTAGAGGACAAACTAGACAATGTTATACAGAAAATGGCTCATGTAATGAGAGACGTGTATGTGCTGCCCTCAGTAATTATATTCAGTACTAGTTTAGTGCTTTACAACTTGACTAATGAGTTGTTTATCGTGAAAAATGGTGTATAGCTCTTTTCCCACTGAAATTCTCCAGTAGATACCAGTCAAACCTCTTTTCAGAAATGCTACTATACGGTGAGCAGAGCCTCCAGTGCTATTTCATTGTGACAATGATCACAGAACAAACCACAAGATGGTCAAGTCTGCACATCTTAGTTCGTCTAGAATTGAAGGCTGGCTTGTTACCACCTTTACCCATGTGCTCATTCCATCTGTTCACATGTATATGCATATTAGACATTTCGTAAAGAAGTCGCCTTTGACCGTTAAAGAGGGTAGAATCTAAATCTCTACTTTTGCATGATTTGAAATTCATCAGGAAGTTCCAGCTGCTTTTGTGTCATTCAAGTCACGATTTGGTGCTGCAGTAGCTCTTCATATGCAACAAGGTGTCGATCCCACAGAGTGGCTCACAGAGGAAGCTCCTGAGCCTCGTGACATCCATTGGTCGTCCTTTTCTTCTTCATTCATGAAAAGATGGATTAGCAGGATAGTTGTCGTGGTTGCGTGTGTTGCCCTCACAATTCTCTTCCTTATTCCAGTTGTTTTAGTGCAAGGTCTGGCTAATCTGGAGCAGCTGGAAACTTGGTTTCCTTTCCTGAAAGGCATTCTAGATCTGTAAGTGAACACGGTCTTATATATTCAATTGTATTTTTCAACGGCAAAATTTAATTCCAGGTTCTCTTTGATGTCACTTAGAGAACTAGTTAGTGTCCTTAGCTCCTGTAATAATATCTTGCTATGCTCATGATGATCTGATACATCAAGCCTTACGACTGAGGCAGACACTTATTTGTATCGCTTCGAGTTCTTAGCATGTGTTCTTAAAAAGTAGTTCATCTATATAAGCGTACTTTATTGGGTACTGATGTGCAGTGCCATTTGACTTGCAGGACCATTGTCAGCCAAATCGTTACTGGATATTTACCAAGTCTCATTCTGCAGCTGTTCCTGTATCTGGTGCCACCTGTTATGTTAATGTTGTCCTCTATGGAGGGATACCTTTCATCTAGCAGCACGGAAAAAAGCGCATGTACCAAGGTTTTGTGGTTTACAATATGGAACATCTTTTTTGCAAATGTACTATCAGGTTCAGCTTTCCATCAGGTGAATATCTTCCTTGAACCGAAGAATATTCCCAAAATACTAGCTGAAGCTGTTCCAGGTCAGGTAATGATCCATTTCCTACCTTAAAAAAGCAACATCTGTCATGTGTACATAACATCTGCAGAATGAGTTTAATATTTCAACATTTTCTGGGGATTAGGTGGATTAACTCAAGGGAATTCTCCTGATTTTCGGTTATGTGACCGCTCATGAAAAATGAAAATTCTTTCTGGCTGCAGGCAACCTTCTTTATCTCATACGTCGTAACATCTGGATGGACGAAATTATCATCTGAAATCTCTCAGCTGACTTCTCTGCTCTGGAGTTATGTGACTGGAGTGTTTTCCAGTAATGACGATGAGGAAATTGATGTCCCAAAGCTGCCCTACCACAGCGAAATTCCAAGAATCCTTTTCTTTGGACTCCTGGGCACAACATACTTTTTCCTTGCACCATTAATCCTTCCATTTCTCTTGATATACTTCTGCATTGGATACATCACCTTCCGCAACCAGGTAACTGAACTATGATCTTTCATGTATAAGGTACATAATCTTCACTATCTGTTATCTAACAACCTCCTCATCTTTGCTCCAGCTACTAAATGTATACGAACCGAAATACGAAACTAATGGAAGGTTTTGGCCAATAGTACATGGTTCCACAATCTTCTCCTTGATCCTGATGCATGTTATTGCCATTGGAATATTTGGGCTGAAGAAGCTGCCTTTAGCTGCTACTTTAACTGTGCCACTCCCCATTCTCACACTTCTCTTCAATGAGTACTGCCGCAGACGCTTCGTACCCCTATTTCAATATTATCCAACCGAGGTAAGCAGTTACTCTTCTTCCTTCCTCCACTCATGTAGCAAGTTTTTGTTACCTTTACAGTTATGCATTCACAAATGTGATTATTGTAGAGTAGCCTTTGACTTATCTGTCGTCCTTGTGCTGCAGAGTATTGTGAAGAAAGATAAAGAAGACCAGAATCGGCCGAACATGGCTGAGTTCTACGATAAATTGGTTACCGCATACCGTGATCCGGCCTTGTTGCCAGTTCAATATGCCAGGAACAGCAGCAGCCTCAGTTCTCCCCTTCTGAATTCACAAGTTTGAAGCTAAGTTCTTGTGTGCTAACGTGTATTCTAATGTATCTTGCCGCGTCCATCTCTACCCATCATTGTTGTTGTATCTTGCATTTGGAAAATAAGGAAGCTATTGTGGTGTGTTTTATGTTCTGTAAATTGTAGCATCGTTGCATCAGCTAGTTTCAGCTGTGTTCATTTCACTCATCCATTTGGTAGGCAACGAAGTCGCATTAACAAACCATAGAAGGAAAAAAGGAAAGAAAACATTCCTATACAATTGCCAGTGCAGTGATTTTTTTTTTTTTTTTCTGAGTGATATCAATGAAGGATAATAGTTAAACTTACAATTCTACCCAGGACCCCAAAAAGACTCTAAAGAAGCCACCCAAAAAAATCAAAAGATTCTAGCTCTAAACGAGACAAAAGCAGTGCTTTACGCGCCACTCAATGGGCAGCACTGTTGGCGGACCAAGGTACCGCCCTAAACTCTATACAAACATACAAAGAGCTAAGGATCTGATGACACTCTCGTAACACCGGACCACCAAACGAGTCTTCTAAGACGCCTTGACGGACTAGATTGCCAGTGCAGTGATTACTGATGAATCACTTTGATCTGGAGTCAGGGAACAGCTTTTGGGCCGAGAAGCCAGGAGACATCTTCCCAAAGCCCAAAACTGGCTTCCTTATCAAGCCCAATGACACTCGAGCTACTAGCAGCCAAAGTCCAATACCCAGCATTAATCTCCTCCTTCAACTGCTCCGCCTCCCAACAGCAATACCCATCGAAGAATCTGAAATTCCCGACGCCGACCATATTCCTCTTCACCATCTCCGCCGCGCAGCCCGCCGTCTCCTTCGTCCCGTGGTATAACCCTTTCATCACCTCCTCGAAAACCCCGCTCCTTGCCAGCCTGTCCTTGTCGTACCCTCCTTTGGGCCTCACCAGAAACAGGCCATCCTCCAATGGGCCCCCGAAGAACAACGGCCGGCCCGAAAACACTTCAGGAAGCATCGCTGATGTCGTAGCCTCGCCCCGCATCTCCTTGATGGACATTAGGGACGGGCGGTTGAGGATGATCCCCAATGGGCCCGCTGGGCCCGTCGACAGGAGAAGGATCACCGTCCGTTTGAGGATGCGGATCCCGTCCAGCTTCTCTGTTGCGATGAGTAGGCATCCCTTTTCCGGCTCGTGGATGGTGTGGGCCCACTTCTCTCCCACCGTCACCAGCTTCGCCGGTGGAGGTTTAGGGTTCTCGTCTGGATCTGCCGCCGGCGAGCTTTTCCCGGTGCTCGCGGTCATAAAGGCTTGCTCATTAGCAACCATTTTTGCCCTGAACCATCTCCAATCCGCCTGCAGGAAGGATTCGGCGTGCTGCTGCAGATCGTCGGACGATCCCGCCGATTGACAACAACCTGCTACCCATATGCAACAGATTAATAAAAATCAAAACTTTTGGGGGGTGGGAACAAGCAATTGGTGACGGAACTGAAGGCCTAAAGGAGAGAATGGAAGTCATAGTAGAAAGACCAACATGTAATGGAGGAGGAAAGGCGAACCCTTTTGGGTTGAAATAGTGATCCATTGGCGAATCTTCTTGAACAGGGGAAGTGGAGGGAACTGGATGAAGAAGACGAAGTGGGGAATTCTAGTGCACTAGTTTTGGCGAAGGGGTTCCAGGAAGTACTGAGAAAATAATTGGCATCCATGATTACCCAAGCTTTCGTTTTCATTCAATGGGTGGGTTCGAGGGAAGTATTTATAATGGAGAGTGAGGATGAATGCTGAGTGTCATTTTTTCCAGAATAGTGTTCAGTGTTTTACCGTATATAAATAATATACTTGAAGGGAGTTGAGAGATCAGCATGGCCTCTCTAGGAAAACAGGTGGTAGTAGCCAATGATCAGATTCTGCCGGCGAGACTAAAGTATTCCAAATAACAGAGAAAGGCCATATTGATGCTGAGGCTGAGGCAGTAGACAGATGCTGTAGCAGTCCATTTGATGGTTAGGCAGCGGCAGGCCGGCAGCCCACGCTTGTGGAATTAAATTATAGTATAGGGCATATACTACATCCCGCCGGCCAACCCTTTCGTCACCTCTGCCATTTAACTACCTTTTGATTTATTTGTCTTTTCCTGGCTTCAATCATCAATTCTTTCAACTTTCAACATTTTGGATGAACTGTTGCCAAGTGTATCCTCTTATTTAGTAACATTTGGTTATTGATCGGTCTTTCTATAACTTTTGCCCCTAGTACTATTATAGTATCCATTCTAATTTGAGTTTAAATTTTTTGTAAAGAAGTCAGATTAATATACAAATTTACCTCCACTTTGATATAGTTTCATTTATGGGAATTGTTACCCATTAAATTTGTTGGTCTTCAGTTTGTATAGTTCAATAGTTTCCTGCTCAGACATGGAGCACAACTATTAAAAGCCAAAGGAAATTTGCTTCAGCTGACAGACAGAATAACTACTTAATTATGAATAGATTCAACCCAAATAATGTCTGGAAGTTGGATACAAAAGCCACAGCAGTGAGCTTCCCAAGTAAAGGAAATTTCTTTCATCAAAAGAGAACTTAGGCTCAATTTGACAGCGAAGAACTCATGAAGAAGAAACGATAGAAGAAGAAAAAAAATGAAAACTCAGATGTCTGGTTATACTGCATGCACCAGCCCCATCTGCTCTTCAGTAGTAGTTAAAATTCATCATCAAAATACCAGAATGATGCTGCTTCTGAGGTCTCGGCCCTGAGGATGAAGAAGAGGTCCCTTAAATGAGTAGGGTGATTGTGAAAAATCAAAGCCAGGGCAAATGGCAGGGAAAGAAACTATTAAGAGTTGGATTTTCAATTATATATAACCCCAGGACAATAAGGGTCTAGTTTCTGAGATGTACCTGTTTATGGAAAGGGAATTCAACTCTGGCAGCATTACCTTAATACCTTATGTCGTCAATTGTCTCATAATCCTCGCCCGGGAAAGTCTTGACCTGACTTTCCAAGCAGAGAACTGCTTCGAACTTGGACGCATTAGTAAAACCAGGAATGGGAAAAACCTCAACCCTCCCATTCCTTGGATCAACCCAAGAAAGTCCAGTACCATCTGTTAGAAACGGAACAACAACAAGATGAGGATACCGAATCTGGAGCTGAGTCGCGGACTAGGTCGCTTTCTTTAAGACGTTCGCGGCACTGCCCTCGATGCGCACGGCAGACTATCAACCGGTCGTCTCCAGGATAAAACAGCTCCTCTGTGTACTCGCGGTTTTGTGCGAAAACCGGAGCTCTCTGAACACTCTCTCTATTGTGTTTATGCTCGTTGTTGTGTGTTTAGAGGGGCTGGGGAGGCGGCTATTTATAGGAGCCGAACCCCTAGTAATATACCCTCTTGCTTGGGGAATAAGTCGGATTAATTAAGGAAGATAATTACTTCCTTAATTAAAACCGTCGGTTAGGATAAATCCTGCAGAGATTATCCTTCGAATATTCCTTTTCAATCGATTATCCCTTGGAATATTCCTCAGAGTAACCGATTAATAATTAATTATTAAATAATTAATTTCGTTCGGAATTTCTCCAAAACATATGTATATAGTCTCAAGTGATCCATCCATCCATCCATCCAACCATCCAACCAACCAACCAACCAACCGACCGACCGACCGTCCGGTCGGACGGACGGACGGCGCGCGCGTGTGTGGTGGTCCGTTAGGTCCTCCCTCTCCCACAAAAGTGGGTCACCCCAAGGGGCATGCCCTTAGGAGAGAGGCTCCTATCTTTATAATCACTTCACCAAGTAAAACTACCAATGTGGTAGTTTTTCCACTTGAGACTCTATAGCTTTCAAAGCTATTCATACACATTTCCAACAATCCCCCACTTGAATAGTTTTGAAACTATCTCTGAGCATCAACAGTTCCATAAGATCGGGCATAAGCTAAGGTATCGCGAAGATTTGAACCTTAGCGTAGTGGTTACACTTCCGATTTCATAAGGGTGACTCGTAGTCTTGAACTCTATCTCAGACAGTGTAGCACACCGGATCTTTTCATTGAGTTGTGTTCTCTTCTTAGCCCGTGCGTTTATGGCCTTGCACGTTACCCTGGTTTAGTGAACGCTCTAGCAACTTTGTGCCTCTCAAAGTTCCATAGGGAGCGGCCCCACTCCCACATTCACATAGGTGAGTCTATCAGGAGTACCCCCAAAGTAAAGTACTCCACCCCACATAGGGTATAGATCTCATTAAGAGTTATTAACTCAACCTCCATTGCTTTGGGATTCATGCTTCATTATGCATGAACTTTTCGCATACTACTCATGACTTGTTATTACCCATTGAACCCATTTCTTGGGATCTCCAGTCTATTGGGTCGGGTTACCATCACTTGTAGTCCGTGGTTCGGTAGGCATAAGTCCCATACCCTTGGCGGTATTCTGGACTTTCTCTCTAGGTAATCCTTTCGTCAAAGGATCAGCTAGATTCTGTTCGGATCTTATATGATCCACCCTCACTGCTCCTATCGTTAGGAGTTCTCTAACAGTACTGTGCTTACGACGAATCTGTCGTTTCTTTCCGTTATAGAACCGGTTCTCGACTTTAGCGATAGCTGCGGTACTATCACAATGTATCAATACCGGAGGGACCGGGCTTTCCCATAAGGGAATCTCTGACAACAATCCTCTCAACCAACTTGCTTCTTCACTAGCCGTTGCTAGTGCTATCATCTCTGATTCCATAGTTGATTGAGCTAGGATTGTTTGTTTCTTTGACTTCCAAGACACAGCTCCACCAGCGATGTTAAAAACATATCCGCTGGTTGCCTTGGAGTCATCTGATAGGGTATTCCAATCCGCATCACTATACCCTTCTAGTACAGCCGGAAACCTTTGATAGTGTATACCAAGGTTTGCTGTTCTCTTGAGGTATCTCATGACCCTCTCTATAGCATTCCAATGCTCTCTACTAGGACAGCTGTTAAACCTGCCAAGCAATCCCACGACATATGCAATGTCTGGTCGAGTGTAATCCGCAGCATAACGGAGACTGCCAATGATGCTAGCATATTCTGTTTGTCTTACACTGTCTCCGGTGTTCTTGAATAGCTTTACACTAGCATCATACGGAGTACACGCAGGTTTACAGTCGAAATAGTTATACTTCTTCAAGATCTTCTCTATGTAACTAGATTGATCTAGAGAATAACCATTTGCTGTTCTAGTTATCTGGATTCCAAGCATAAACTTTGCTTCTCCCAGATCTTTCACCTCAAAGCTCTCTTTTAACATGGCTTTCGCTTCATTGACCACGTGAATATTTGTGCCAAATATCAACATGTCATCTACATACAAACATATGATAGTGCAAGTGTTATTCTCTGACTTGCAGTAAATACACTTGTCACTTTCATTTACCTTAAAGCCATGTGAGAGAACGAGAGTGTCAAACTTCTCATGCCACTGTTTTGGAGCCTGTTTCAAACCATATAATGATTTGTCCAACTTACAGACTTTCGAGGCATGTTCAGGGATAACAAACCCTTCTGGTTGTTCCATATAGATTTCTTCATCTAGATCACCGTTCAAAAAAGCAGTCTTAACATCCATTTGGTGTACCACGAGATTGTTCAAGGCAGCAAGAGCAATCATGACACGAATGGATGTTATTCTAGATACTGGTGAATAGGTGTCGAAGAAATCTATATTCTCTCTCTGCCTGTAGCCCTTGACTACTAGGCGAGCTCGGAACCTTTCGATTGCACCATCAGGTTTCCGTTTCGTTTTTAGAACCCATTTATTACCTAAGACTTTGCAGCCAGGAGGTAAGTCTGTTAGATGCCAAGTCTTATTAGCCTCTAACGATTCCATTTCATCTATAACGGCCTCATTCCAAAAGTCTGCATCTATGGAAGTTAGTGCTTCCTGCAAACTTTTTGGATCCTCTAGGGTGTATACTGTAGTAAAGTCATCACCAAAATCTTTAGAGATTCTAGCTCTTTTACTTCTTCTGAGTTCATCCTCAGATCCAACACCCCCACTAGTTCCGTTATCTATAATAGCGGGTAGTACATTACCCCCACTATTTCTCGTTTTAAATGGAAATCGTGTCTCAAAGAAATCAGCATCAATGGATTCTATTACAGTACGAGCATTCAAATCATAGAATCTATATGCCTTACTATTGGCCGCATAGCCAACGAAGACACATTCATATGCTCGACTGGCCAACTTAACCCTCTTAGGATCAGGAATTCTTACGTAGGCCAAACAGCCCCACGTTCTTAAATAGGACAGATTAGGTGGCTTATTCTTCAAGATCTCATAGGGTGATTCTTTTCTATTTGTTTTTGGAAGACGATTTAGCACATAGCAAACCGTCAACAAAATATCACCCCACCAAGAAGAAGCAGCTCCAGAATTGAGCATAATAGCCACAACTAATTCTGTAAATGTCCTATTTTTCCGCTCAGCTTTACCATTCATCTCTGGTGAATATGGTGCCGTGGTTTCATGAATGATACCATGTGAGCTATAGAATTCCTTGTAGGGATTAGAGTCATACTCTGATCCTCTATCGCTCCTAAGTCTTTTTATCTTTCGATTGCACTGATTTTCGAATTCAACCACAAATACCTTGAACATGTCAAGGGCTTCACTTTTGTTTTTCATCAAATAAACAAAGCAATAATCAGAGCAATCATCTATGAAAGTGATAAAGTATCTCTTGCCAGACCTAGTTAACGTCCCATCTAGTTCACAAATATCAGAATGAATCAGATCTAAGGGTTCTGATTCTCTACTCACAGATTTATGGGGCGTTTTCGTTATTTTAGCTTGGCTACAGAAATCACATTTATCAAATTCATTCATTGAGAGTTTAGGGATATGCCCTAGCTTGCTTAAATTCTTCACAATTCGTGTGTTCACATGACAAAGACGAGCATGCCAAACATTCAAATCACACACCATGTAAACTGAAGAATTCATCTTATTAATTTCGACATTCAATTTGAACATCCCATTACATGCATATCCCTTTCCCACAAAACTCCCATTCTTAGTAAGGGTATACAAGTCTGCCCCAATAGATTGATTAAACCCAGCCTTATTAAGAAGATATCCCGAAACAAGATTCTTCCTTATCTCTGGAGTGTGCAACACATCCTTAAGCACCATCTTCTTCCCAGAGGTGAAGTTCAGCTCCACTTCACCAGAACCAGCAACCATAGTGGTGTGAGTAGTCCCCAACAACACTTTCTTGTCAGCAGGTGCTTCTTCGTATGTTTTAAACATAGCACGATTGTTGCATACATGCTTCGATGCACCTGTATCCAGCCACCATCCTTCTGAGTCACCGGTGAGGTTAACTTCAGCAATCATATCTGTGATCATGGCTACCAAATCCTCTTCTGTCAAGTTAACCCTGGCCGCAGCGGCGGGGTTATGCTTGTTCCTGCACTTTTTTGCCATATGACCCGGTTTTCCGCAGTTAAAGCAGATAAACGGTGGGTCATTCTTAGAGGTTTGGGCCATGACCCTTTGGTTACCTCGAGAGGCACCATTCTGGTGGGGGCGGACCTGCTGGTTCTTACCCTTAAACCCTTTCTGGTTAGGTTTAAGAGCTCTAGGGGTGGGTCGTTTAGCAGTGACGACCATCACCTCTTCTTTCATATCCTGCTTGCGGGACTCTTCCTCAATCCTTAGGCGAGTAATCAAACTTTCCAGTGAAAATTCTTTGGTTTTATGTCTAAGCATATTCTTAAAATCTTTCCACGAAGGGGGCAGCTTATCAATTATGCAAGCAACTTGAAATTGATCGTCCAGAGGCATACCTTCAGAGACGATCTCGTGAGCTATTTTCTGAAGTTCGTGGGACTGAACTTCGACAGACTTGTCATCCACCATCTGATAGCGCAGGTAGCGGCTGACAGCATACTTCTTAGCTCCAGCCTCCTCCGTGTCGTACTTCTTTTGGAGCGCATCCCAGACCATCATTGCGGTGTTCTTGCTGTCCGCATAATAGTCGTAGAGGTCGTCTGCCAGGCCGTTGAGGATGTAGCCCTTGCATAGGAAGTCATGCTCCCTTTCCTTAGCAGCAGCAGTCCTCTCCTCATCGGTCGCTTCTTCCGGCAGCTCGACGGGCATGCTAGTGAGGCAGTGTGCCAACTTCTTGGTCGTCAGGTAAAACTCCATCTTTTGTTTCCAGCGACGAAAGTTGACTCCAACGAAGCGAAACGGTCGATTGATATCGACAGCACCAGATCCGGCCATGTTGTTCTGTTCAGTCGACATAGCAGCAGCCGAACGTCTTAAAATTGTTAGAAACGGAACAACAACAAGATGAGGATACCGAATCTGGAGCTGAGTCGCGGACTAGGTCGCTTTCTTTAAGACGTTCGCGGCACTGCCCTCGATGCGCACGGCAGACTATCAACCGGTCGTCTCCAGGATAAAACAGCTCCTCTGTGTACTCGCGGTTTTGTGCGAAAACCGGAGCTCTCTGAACACTCTCTCTATTGTGTTTATGCTCGTTGTTGTGTGTTTAGAGGGGCTGGGGAGGCGGCTATTTATAGGAGCCGAACCCCTAGTAATATACCCTCTTGCTTGGGGAATAAGTCGGATTAATTAAGGAAGATAATTACTCAGAGTAACCGATTAATAATTAATTATTAAATAATTAATTTCGTTCGGAATTTCTCCAAAACATATGTATATAGTCTCAAGTGATCCATCCAACCAACCGGCCGGTCGGACGGACGGCCGGCGCGCGCGTGTGTGGTGGTCCGTTAGGTCCTCCCTCTCCCACAAAAGTGGGTCACCCCAAGGGGCATGCCCTTAGGAGAGAGGCTCCTATCTTTATAATCACTTCACCAAGTAAAACTACCAATGTGGTAGTTTTTCCACTTGAGACTCTATAGCTTTCAAAGCTATTCATACACATTTCCAACACCATCTACCAGCATCAGAATCCAACCATCCAACATCCCCAAACTACGAACGAACTGAGGTTGGTCGAAAACAGGAATTTTATCGACTACAGAATAGAGAATGCACCAAGAGTCCTCATTCCCGTATTCTTTCATCACCCAAACATCAACCCGTCCTCCAGCCATACTAGCACTCCCTTTACCATAAGTAGCACAAACGCACAAGCACGAATCCACAACCCCTACGCCGACCTTCACAATGGAGGAGGAGGATACTTCATGTGCTGTGTACTTTGGCTGTTGGATTTTACCAAACACATCAGAACCAAGATCATACGAGTGGATCACATGTGGCTCCAAAATCCAATGCAGAGACCCACCGAGAAGCACACCCATTTCCTGATTTTTTGTGGCAGAACGATTCCAGTTACGATTAGCGTGACAGACGCTAAAGGATCTGGTCCTGAAGCTATAAGTTAAAATGTAGGACTTCAAGTCATGATATTCCTCAGACCCTGCTGTGAGCAGTATAACGGCTTTGTAGTCGCGAGCTACCTCATCGTATCCGAAACCATAACCAGCCCACTCTACTGAAGAAAGCAAGTAGTCCTCATCAATATCAAAGTAATTAGCATCGAAGTACACATCATGGGTTGAGAGCAATGGATCTCTCGTCATGAGATGTTCCAGCGTCACAGATTGTTTCTCCTCCGGAAACACTGGATTAACCAGCCGGAGTTGGTTCTCGAAATCAGCTAGGCAGACCAAGCCGTGGCATGAACCCATGACACTATAGACATAGCGTCCATGCCAACCTTCTTCTAGTCTGTCGGGACAGAAAGTTCCAGGTTGGAAGCCATAGGAAACGTAGCATCTATAGTCTTTTTGTACACGGAGGAACAGAGAAGTAGAGCGCTTGAGTTGGCGTTGGATGAAACTGGGTTCATCTAGGATGGACCGCCATTCTTTGCACACGCACCGCAGCCTGCAAAGCTCGCACCAGCTGAGTCGGCCCAGAATTTCTGTCATGACTCCAGATGGAATGTTGTCCGACATTATTTTCTTCTTCCTTGGTTGGCACCAGACTTTCTTTCTCTGTGTTCTCTTTAGGCCACCTGGTTTTCTCTTCTGTTGTTCCAAAGTTGTAAAGTCTAAAGTGACTGTTGAGGGCAGGGCAATGGTGGAGAAGATGTATTCCAATGTGAAAGGCGCCGAAGCGTTGGACTTGGAACTAGCGTTGATGCATAATTGCGTATTATAAGTTTAGTTATCCAAATGCCTTCTCCTTTTCATCATTCTCCAAGAAAACGTTTAGTTATCCAAGGAGCTTGGGAAGGTAATTAATTGGCAAAGCCAACAAGAGGCCACAGTCAGTGGTAGCTAGCTAGGATGAATAATGACTTAAAAGTTAAATCTAATGTTTGTGAGCGGTTCATAGTGATAGGGAACTCATCAATGCAAATCTAAATCTAAAAATTGTCATGAAGCGGGAGGGGAAGAATGACTGAACATATTTAACCAACGAAACATCAGGTTAATTTGTATGTTTAGACATTATGATAAATACTATTCTTGAATTACAATTTAATATCATCTGCATTGGCTTGCAACAAGTAGGGGTGTGGGCATTGGTCCAGTCCGGATCAGATCCAACCGAATTTAGGGCAACCGCGGTTAGTGACGGATTCTAGAAAATTTTTTTATAGTGGTGTCCTCTTCCAAAAATTAAATTTTAATTAACAATTAAATTAAATAATTCATAAATCAAATAAATATTTGACTGGTGCAAATATACTATATTAGACAATAATTCCCGAACTAATCGCATATTCGATTTCTAACATTGTTCCTGATGTAACTCAAACTTGAAAGACTCTTTCAACTCTTACACCATACCTATAAAATCAATTCAAATTAAGGATAGCTCGAATGAGTTTAATTGTTAAGTTTTGAAAATAATTGGGAATAAAGAATAGTGTTTTTACTATAACATAGTGTTTAAAATAAAACAACAAATGAGTTGCAATCTAGAGAATATGTTTAATAATAGTACTGTCCTAGGTTTGAATAACACATAGTATTACTTATATATTTTTAATCATACGCAAACTACTATCGAGGACAGGATTATCGTTTTTCAAGGGTGTCCCGGATTACCAATTATAATTTTTTATTCATACGAAACTACTACCGGAAGTTGGATAATCGTTTTCCCAAATTTTAGGGGTGTCCCGGGACACCTCTAAAGGCCCATGTATCCGCCACTGACCGCGGTTCAATAGTGAAAAATATCTTAGGATCAATGACCGGACCAATAGTACATTTGGTCCGTTTTGGTCCGATCCAAATGTTAATTTGATCAATTTTTCTTCAGTATTTATAAAGTTCATGGGACGAAGGACCGAACCATATTATATTCGATTTGGTGTGATCCGATCAAAACATCGATTCGGTTTGGTGTGGTCCAGTATAGACCAACCAATTGCCCACTCCTAACAACAACCACTTTAATAGCGTCAGTTGTGCATAAGATTTGTGTGAATTTCATTTGCAAGTGAGTTGTGGGTCATAGGGGATGCTAAGCAAACTTCAATCATCTTTGAGGTGCTAGAACACATAAGAGAAACTGAGAAACCGTTATCAGATTTAGTCGTCATAAATATGACTCTTTAGGTAAACCAATTTTTAAGTTTTGATTTTCAAGATCTATTAGAGGCTAAAGAGAATACATTTTAGTGAAAAGTACATATCTTCTCCCTTTCTTTCTGTGGTTCATTGTCATCCTTTTACCATCTACAAGTAAATATGAGGTAAAAGGTTTGCCCACATATCTCATCTCAATATTTCATATCAATAAAACCTATACAACAAAGGCAAAACATCTACAAAAGCATGAAACAAATCTTGAAAGAAACACAAGCTAATCACATACAAGAAATGATACATAATGTCTTACGACAAAAAGATTAATTAGTAAAGAAAATAGCGCACAAAAACTGACAACTTAGAATATACAAAACGATATAGGAAATATATAATTCAATCCTCACATAACAACACTCACACAAACAATCAAAAAAAGCTAGTTAACTAAAGAAGGGAAGGGGGTAAAAAAGAAAGAACTCATATACAAATTCCAGTACAGTAATCTCTCTGGTCAGGACACCGCTTTTGGGCCGACAAGCCAGGATACATCCTCCCAAAGCCCAAAACGAGCCTCCTTATCCAGCCCAATAACACTCGCGCTACAGGCCGCCAAAGTCCAATACCCAGCATTAATCTCATCCCTCAACTGCTCCGTCTCCCAACCGCAATACCCGTCGAAGAATCTGAAATCTCCGACGCCGACCATATTCCTCTTCACCATCTCCGCCGCGCACCCGGCCGTCTCCTTTGTCCCGTAGTACAACCCTTTCATCACCTCCTCGAATACCCCACTCCTCGCCAGCCTGTCCTTGTCGTACCCTCCTCTGGGCCTCACCAGAAACAGGCCTTCCTCTAATGGGCCCCCAAAGAACAACGGCCGGCCCGAGAACGCTTCCGGAGGCATCACAGACAGAGAGGACGACGTCGTTGCGGCGTTTCGCATCTCCTTGATGGACATGAGGGACGGGCGGTTGAGGATGATGCCCAATGGGCCGGCCGGGCCCGTTGACAGGAGAAGGACCACCGTCCGTTCGAAGATGTGGACCCCGTCCAGCTTCTCCGTTGCGATGAGCAGGCACCCTTTTTCCGGCTCGTGGATGGCGTGGGCCCATCTGTCTCCCACCGTCACCAGCTCCAGCGGCTGTTTTGCTCTAGGGGTCTCGTCTGGATCTGCCGCCAGCAAGCTTTTCCCGGTGCTCGCGGTCATAAATGCTTGCTCGTTAGCAACCAATTTTGCCCTGAACCATCTCCAATCCGCCTGAAGGAAGGACTGGCTGTGCTGCTGCAGATCGTCGGACGATCCAGCCGATTGGCAACCTGTTACGCATTACCCATTTGCAATACATTAATAAAAATCAAAAACTTGGGCGGCAAACAATCAACTGAACGACGAAATCGAAGGCGAGAAGGGGATAGTGGAAAGTCGGTTGAGAAACCAACATGTAATGGAGGAGGAAAGGCGAACTCTTTTGGGTTGAAAGGGTGATCCATTGGAGCATCTTCTTGAACAGGGGAATTCTAGTGCAGCAGTTTTGGTGAGTGGATTTGAGGAACTGAGAAAGCAATTGGCATCCATGATTATCCAAGGTTTTTTTCTGGTTTGTTTTTGTCTGTCTGAAATGGGTGGGTTCGAGAGAAGTATATATAGAGAATGTCAGGATTATTGAGAACCACATGAAGTCACTCAGTGAGTCACTTTATCCCTTGTAGTGTAGAAACTAGAAAGCAAGTGTAAAATACTTAGACCGTATAATACTTGGAGGGAGTAGACTGTAGAGAGATCCCCATCCATTATACTTGAAATGGCCAATCACATTCTGCCAACAAGACTAAAGTGTGGCACCAAACAAAGGAAGCCCATGCTGAAGCAGGCCAATTTGATGGGTAGCCATGGAAGTAAGCACAATGTCCACATAAAAAAAGATAATTGGAAAATTCTTTCTTGCGTGGAGCATTACTCTCCTCCACTATTTCTCTAGTAGTTATGCTTTTTTTTTACATAAAATGTATCATATTCTTAGAGCTTGGACGATATCCGTAAAAGGTACCAATATTTTTCTATGTTGGGACTTGGGAGCCATATCTTTCTCGACCGTTTGCTCAGATAAAAGTGAAATCTGTTTGAGAGCTGGATCGGTTCCACAACTATTTAGGTTATCTCTGATCGATCCGTTGTACAATTGTAATCTGTAGACTATCCATTTTTTATGATCGAGAGATGATCTATATGTGGGACTGTAGACCATCCATTGTATGCATTGACAAGGACGAGACAGTTGCATTGCAGTTGCTGGAGTACCCATATGTATGGGTGAGCAACTGGTTCAGTAGCGGAATAGGTAGGCTCAAAATTTGAGGGTGGTCGCAGTGACCACTCCTCTTGAGGTTGGCACCTTAACCCGCTCCGTATATCGACCCAAACATTGTCGAAAACTAAATACTCTATCTATCTTAAGCAAGGAAAAACTATATAACTGTGCCCTTACCATTAATAACATTGATTTTGACATGTAAACCAAAGAACAAGGTTGATTTGCATGAATTTTGGTCTGGCCTTCTTCCATCCTATTCTTTGTTCTGCTGTTCTTACCCTTTTCTTCCTCTTTTACGGCTAAGGCCAAGTCCATTAGTTGTTCCTAAATATGTATCGACAACACACAAAGAAAACCGAAAACTGAAAAGAGAGTATGGGGTATCTTCAGTAAATGTGGTGATGATCATTTGAGGGATCACCAAACAATCTAAGTTCCTGAACCAATCCATCAGCCATCTCATACACTTCACCAGAGTCCGGATGGGACTTATCCAATACAGTGAATTCATGGACTTTATCACCCACCTCAATGAAACTGGCGCCAGACGGCTTCTGGATTCCAGCACTCTTCATTTGGAGCCTCACATTAGCAACCTTGACCCAATCCCCGGCAGCAGCATAAATATTCGACAGCACCGAACAAGTACCGTGCTCTGATGCCTCCTCGAATCTCGCCATGTGATCTTGAACCTGCTTAGCAAGTTCAGCAGCATTGTGCATTCTGCAGGCACCCAGAAGGGTACCCCAGATCACAGCATTCGGTCCCATCGGCATGGAATCCACGAGCCTAATTGCTTCGTTGAGACGTCCAGCACGGCCCAACAAGTCAATAACGCAGCCGTAATGCTCGATGTCAGGGGCAATCCTGTATTCCTTCTCCATGTTGTGGAAGTACCTGAGGCCCTCGTTGATGAAGCCGGAGTGAGTACAAGCACACAGAACTGCTACTAGAGTGAATTTATCGGGCTTAAAACCCTGTTGTTTCATCCTGGAGAAGAGCTTGAGTGCTTCATCTCCATGCCCGTGTATGGCTAACCCTTGAAGCATGCAGTTCCAAGAAACTACATCTCTCTCTGCCATTCGCTCAAACACTTCATACGCCTTCTTTACTCTCCCACATTTTGCATACATATCGAGCAATGCATTAGACACATCAACATGGTGCATTAATCTAGTCCTTGCAATAGAGGCATGAACTCGTTCCCCCAGTCCAAGCAAACCAGACTCTGCACAAGCAGCCAGTATGCTAACGGCAGCCCCAGAATCAAGCATAAGTCGAGATTTCTCCATTAAAGAATACAAACTTACAGCATCCTGCGCCAGCCCCTTTTGGGCATAACCAGATATAAGTATAGTCCAAGAAACCATATTCTTGGTTGGCATTTTATCAAACAGCATTCTAGCCATTTGCATATCTCCTGCTTTGCTGTAACCTGAGACCATCGTGGACCATGACACAACATTCCTCTCAGGCATTTTCTCAAACAACTCAAACGCTTCGTTCATCTTTCCGGCCTTCACATATGCATCTAGTATCGTGTTCCAACTAATCGCGTCTCTCACAGGCATTTCATCGAACAGTTCACGTGCACCACCCAGATTCCCTGCTCTCACCAGCCCGGCAATCATAGAATTCCAAGAAACGACATCTCTGCTGTTCATACTCCTAAACAGCCTCGTAGCAGACCGAATTCCCAAAGCACCACACTTGGAGTAGCTATCAATCAACGAATTGGGCACGAAAATATCACCGAAAAATTCAACCTTCTCCAAACTACCGTGTATCATCTGCACAACCGGCAACCAGGGCTCTCCATTACAAGCTTTGAGAAGAAAAGGGTAAGTGAAATTATCAGGAAACATTCCATTTTGCTGCATCTCGAGGAGAGCAGCGAACGCCATGGAAGGTTGGGAGTTGCGGACGTGAGCTCGAATCAGAGTGTTGTAGAGTTGCAAATTGGGGTGCCGAACTTGGTTGAAGACGTTGAGAGCGAGCTTCATGTGATGACAATGCGAGAATGCCGATATCAATTTTGGAGCTACGTAGAGGTCTGTGTGGAGATTCTGCTTGATTATCTGGGCGTGAACCTGCTTTACGTGGGCTATGTCTGTACATTTGTGAAGCTCCTGCAACTTTTGCTCGAACAGTCTTCTCGTCGAGACCCATGCCGGAGCTCTAATTGGGGTCGACATTTGGGCACCGCTGTTAGCCATGGATGGCTGGTCGCAATTGCATCACCGGATATTAGTGAGATGACGGCTTGCTTCCGCCGAAGAATGAGGTCCGCCGTCCGCGAACAATGAGTTCAAACGATGTTGTCGTTAGCGCCTGTTTTGGGTCAATTGGGCTTTGGGCCATGGTTTGTTTATGTAAAAGTCCACTCCAGTTACAGATGAGCTTGAACTTGGGCTCCAGGAGACAAATACTAAGGGTCGTTTGGAATGATTTTTTCTCTGAATACATATGTTTAAAAAACATTATCAAAATACACACATTTTATGAAAAATTCACAATTTACACATGTTTGAGCATCATTGCGACCGTCAACATTATGGTTATGATCAATGCTGTAGTTGAAGATTGAAAGATCTTGAAAAATTATGCGGAATAAAAAAAAAATCGCTACGATCTGATAACCGAGCGCAAAGTTACGTTCGTTTTAAGTTTCAGCCTTAGGTTAGGCATTCACCGCGGCCGACAAACGCAGTGAAGCCTTCACCGCTTTTGTCTGCCGCGGTGATGCATTTACCGCTTTTGTTTGCCGCGGTGATGCATTCACCGCTTTTGTCTTCCGCGGTGAATGCTTTTACCGCGATTGACGGTCGCGGTTATGTCCAAACATGTGTAGATTTGAAATTTTTCATAAAACGTGTGTATTTTGGTTATAAAAAACATGTGTATTTTGGGATTTTTCCCCTTTTGGAAGTTGTGATTTTTCAAATTGATTTATTGAGTCAATAGTGTATTATCATTTAATGTATTCAATCAATTGATATATTAGGTAAAGAAATTGTTTGGAGGTTTAGATTGTGTTTTTATCCTAAAGCCACAAAAGTTAATTTTGAATGATTGTGAAGAATCTCAACAAAAAGTAGAGATTGATAATCCCTCAATTTCGAGTGATAGTAATGAGGCCTCCAAAAAGTTAATACATGTACTCTAGTTCAATATAAACAAAAAAATGACTTAATCTCACAAATACATAAATTAGCTCAATACAACATTTAAAATAACAACTTCTAAACGACGCCTAAGTATTCATATTTTTTGTGGTAGAAATATCAAATAAGTAGGGGTGAACAATACTAACGTAAAACTGAATCACTAGTCCAATCCAAACCGATCAACTAGTAATATTTGAGACTATCTAACTTTAAAGGTGTGTGTATGTTTCAATTGTTGAAAATCAAAGCCTTATGATTGGCTTTGGATTTGAATGGTTATAACTCCAAATTATACAAACCGATCCATGATACCACATTTTATATTTAATATATATTCATGCAGGGTACAACACAAATCTCTTATTTTAATTACTATTCATTTCATTTATTTTAATTATTAGATCACCCATCTATTTCTATGTTGATTCACTATTGACTACCACGGTTTCTTCTCCATGACTATCATATGGATTCTTTTTTTTTTTATAGTAATATGAGTGGCTTTTATTAATGGGCTAAGGAGTCCAAATCCATGACATTAAGTAGAAACATGGGTGGTCTGTCAACCCAGTCTTCTTGGGCATCCCAAGTACAGTTCATATGAGCTAAATCGTGGGCTGCTCTATTACAGGCCCGCTTGGCAAACTTCCACCTGACCCGGCCGATCCGATTCGCTTCTTCCTTCAGCTCCACTACCGTCGCTCCTGCTTCCATCTCCGTCATTTCCTCTCCCTGCAATTTGAGAATGGCGGTTTGACAATCCGATTCAATAATCACCTGGCTTCGTCCCAGCTTCTCCGCTAACCTCAGACCCAGCTTTATTGCCCGGAGCTCCCCTAGTTCAGATGGCCATTGGATCCTCTGTCTGCTAAGTGACGCTCCGAGAAAAGCTCCCCCCTCGTCCCGCGCCACCGCTCAGCTCCCACTTCCTCGTCCGGCGAAAATTACAGCGTCGACATTCACCTTTATCCACCCCGCCGGCGGTCTGGTCCAAGTAATTGCTTCCTCTGTCCTTTCTCTAGTGTCTTTCTCTTGATAGGATTTGAATTCTTCCCAGTGGTTTAGGGCTTTCCCCACTATTTCCCATTCCTCCATCTTGCTGGTATCGAACATTTGGTTGTTTCGTTCGTGCCATAAATACCATAGAATCATCCCCAATTGCTCTAATTGCTCATCACTTCCTTTCTCCATGACTTCGCACCACCATGATCCACACGAGAGATTTTCCTCCATTTCA